AAAGAGGAGCCGTAAGTGTACCTCTCATTGTTCTTGTTCTGTCGTTCGTTGTTCTTGTTCCGCTTCTCATTGTTCTTGTTCTGCTTCTCATCGTTTTTGATGTGCCGCTCATTGTTCTAGTTCTACCACTCATTGTTCTCTTTCTCTTGTTATTGCTCTTGTTCTCCTTTTCATTGTTCTTGTTCTGCTTCTCACTGTTCTTGTTTTTCCTCTCATTGTTCTTGTTCTGCATTTCATTGGTCTTGTTCTGCTTGTCATTGTTCTTGTTCGGTTTTTCATTGTTCCTGTTCTGCTTCTCATCATTGTTGTTCTCCCTCTCATTGTTTTTGTTCTCCCTCTCACTGTTCTTTTTCTACTTTTCATTGTTCTTATTGTGTTTCTCATTGTTCTAGTTCTACCTCTTATTTTTCTTGTTCCGCTTGTCATTGCTCTTGTTCTCTTTTTCATTGTTCTTGTTCTGTTTCTCATTGTTTTAGTTCGCCTTTCATTGTTCTTGTTCTGTCTCTCATTGTTCTTGTTCGGCCTCTCATTGTTCTTGTTCAACCTCTCATTGTTCTTGTTAGGCTTCTCAGTGGTCTTGTTTTGCCTTTTACGGTTCTTGTTCTGCTTCTCATTGTTTTTGTTCTGTCTCTGGTTGTTCTGTAAACATCGGAGAAACATTCTGTTTGACCGTCCACTTCTTGACTTTAGTTTTGTGGCAGAACTTAAATTTTTGATGCAGATATGTTACAGATCTCGCTCATGTGTGTGCAGACCTGTTGGTTGATCGTCCTTTAGACAGAATGCACAAAATGTAGAAATAGAAGGAAACCCAGTCCCATATAGGGGGAAACTCCCTCCAATATAAACGGAAACTGTGTCCAATATAGGAGGAAATTCCCTCCCATTTAGGAGGAAACCTATTCCCATGTAGGAGGAAACCCCGTCTTATATAGGAAGAAACTCCGTCCCATATTTAAGTGAAACCCGTCAGATATAGGAGGAAACCCCTTCCCATAAAGGAGGAACCCGTGTCCCATACTTGTGGTAACCCCGTATAACGAACTAAAAATTTCCCCCTTTTTTTTTTGAGTCTTTCGTTACCCATCTGCACTTACATTATTTTAACTCTTTAAATTCAGTATTTTAGTATAAAACGGTTGCCCGACTTGCTAGCGCAGTTGGCTAAACCAGACTGCGCGGCGACCGGGTGACGAACTCTTTGTGGTCAGGCCTGGGTAGGCAGAAAAGCACATTCCTTCCAGATTTACAGTGTCTATCATAGAATCAAGCATCCATAGTACCGAGCCAAAGGGTTACCAACTCATGGTTTCTGGATACTTAAAAAAAGTATGAAGCGTTCATAGTTTAAGTCTTCGTCTTATTCGTCATCCTGTGCTTAGCTGTAAATTATATCGGAAATTACTTGTTGTTTTTGTCCACCTCTGTACATTGATCTTGTTCCAGAACTTGAATTTTGCGTGTACACCCGATTTACAAATCTGGGTTACTTGAATGTAGACTGTTGGTTTCTCAGCGCTCAGGCAGATGAACTGCGACTTCAGAGGACCTTTAGTCCATTAACAGTTTACGTAAAATTGCTGTTCTTGGTCTTAATGTTCTAAAACAGTATTGCTGTCTGCACATGCGTGTGCTCGCTAGTGATATACTGCGACTGCAGTCTGTGGCAATTTTTCCATAAGGGACAGTGTTGGACATTCTGTGTTTTTTGGTTGGCACAACCACGACCGGCTCCAGCTGACGGGCCTTACTGCTGACGTCACCATGTCAGGCTAACGATGCGTTAACGAAGCAGTTCTCATAAAAGAAGTAAACCATTTTCGACAGTCGCGAGGATGGACAACCTTAATTGAAACTTTTATGTATTTACATGCCTTCTTTAATAATTTCAGAATTTTAGCTGACTTTTCTTGATTATTGCCGTGGTATTTATGACGTACGCTCACGGCACCCCAAAGTGCCTCGGCACACAGTTTGAGAACCGCTACTTTAACGCATCATTAGCCCGAAGCGGTAATGTCAGCACCAGGGCCCGACAGCTGGAGCCGGTCATAGCACAACTGTGGGGTGACCTGTTTGCTATGAAGCTGAAACTTAAGATTATCAAATTTATATTAGTTAATTAGTGTCTTTGTGTACCTACTAAGTAAATAATCTCATCAGTGTCAGCGCTTTAATAAAGAAAAACTTGGGACACTAGATTGTACTCGGTACACTAGATTATACTCGGTACACTAGATTGTACTTGGTATACTAGATTGTACTCGGTACACTAGATTGTACTCGGTACACTAGATTGTACTTGGTACACTAGATTGTACCTGGTACACTAGATTGTACTCGGTACACTAGATTGTACTTGGTACACTAGATTGTACTTGGTACACTAGATTGTACTTGGTACACTAGATTGTACTTGGTACACTATATTGTACTTGGTACACTAGATTGTACTTGGTACACTAGATTGTACTTGGTACACTAGATTGTACTTGGTACACTAGATTGTACCTGGTACACTAGATTGTAATCGGTACACTAGATTGTACTTGGTACACTGGATTGTACTTGGTACACTAGATTGTACTTGGTACACTAGAGTGTAATTGGTAAACTAGATTGTACTTGGTACACTAGATTGTACTTGGTACACTAGATTGTACTTGGTACACTAGATTGTACCTGGTACACTAGATTGTAATCGGTACACTAGATTATACTTGGTACACTAGATTGTACTTAGTACACTATATTTTACTTGGTACACTAGATTGTACTTGGTACACTAGATTGTACTTGGTACACTAGATTGTACTTGGTACACTAGATTGTACTTGGTACACTAGATTATACTTGGTACACTAGATTATACTTGGTACACTAGATTGTACTTGGTACACTAAATTGTACTTGGTACACTAGATTGTACTTGGTACACTAGATTGTACTCGGTACACTAGATTATACTTGGTACACTAGATTGTACTACGTACACTAGATTTTACTTGGTACACTAGATTGTACCTGGTACACCAGATTGTACTTGGTACACTAGATTGTACTTGGTACACTAGATTGTACTTGGTACACTAGATTGTACTTGGTACACTAGATTGTACTTGGTACACTGGATTGTACTCGGTACACTAGATTGTACTTGGTACACTGGATTGTACTCGGTACACTAGATTGTACTTGGTACACTAGATTGTACTTGGTACACTAGATTGTACTACGTACACTAGATTGTACTTGGTACACTAGATTGTAATCGGTATACTTGATTGTACTACGTACACTAGATTGTACTTGGTACACTAGATTATACTTGGTACACTAGATTATACTTGGTACACTAGATTATACTTGGTACACTAGATTATACTTGGTACACTAGATTGTACTTGGTACACTAGATTGTACTTGGTACACTAGATTGTACTTGGTACACTAGATTGTACTTGGTACACTAGATTGTACTTGGTACACTAGATTGTACTTGGTACACTAGATTGTACTTGGTACACTAGATTGTACTTGGTACACTAGATTATACTTGGTACACTAGATTGTACTTGGTACACTAGATTGTTCTTGGTACACTAGATTGTTCTTGGTACACTAGATTGTACTTGGTACACTGGATTGTACTTGGTACACTGGATTGTACTTGGTACACTAGATTGTACTTGGTACACTAGATTATACTTGGTACACTAGATTATACTTGGTACACTAGATTGTACTTGGTACACTAGATTGTACTTGGTACACTAGATTATACTTGGTACACTAGATTATACTTGGTACACTAGATTATACTTGGTACACTAGATTATACTTGGTACACTAGATTGTACTTGGTACACTAGATTGTACTTGGTACACTAGATTGTACTTGGTACACTAGATTGTACTTGGTACACTAGATTGTACTTGGTACACTAGATTATACTTGGTACACTAGATTATACTTGGTACACTAGATTATACTTGGTACACTAGATTGTACTTGGTACACTAGATTGTTCTTGGTACACTAGATTGTTCTTGGTACACTAGATTGTACTTGGTACACTAGATTATACTTGGTACACTAGATTATACTTGGTACACTAGATTATACTTGGTACACTAGATTGTACTTGGTACACTAGATTGTACTTGGTACACTAGATTATACTTGGTACACTAGATTATACTTGGTACACTAGATTATACTTGGTACACTAGATTGTACTTGGTACACTAGATTGTACTTGGTACACTAGATTGTACTTGGTACACTAGATTATACTTGGTACACTAGATTGTACTTGGTACACTAGATTATACTTGGTACACTAGATTATACTTGGTACACTAGATTGTACTTGGTACACTAGATTATACTTGGTACACTAGATTGTACTTGGTACACTAGATTATATTTGTGACATTGTCTTGTCCTTTTTGTTTTTGCTTTTTGTTTTTTGTTGTAAATACAATATGTTATTATTTTATTATTAATGCTGGAGGTCCCAGGTTCAAGCCCTGGTGAAGGCGGGAATTTTTCAGGTGGACTTCTAGCAATTTCCTCTGGTCTCTGGGTTGTGAGATCGAACGCCCGTGTGTATTGTTGCAAGCGTTAAAAAAAATCTCTTAGCAGTTGGAAATCGAAAAAAGAGTAGCTTAACGGCGCTGCCTGGGCAAAATTTGTAGTTAAAAAATCTACCCAAAGTATTTCAGGATGCTCGTCGGTGCTACGGAGTTGGTGTACTACGCTGAGATTTTTCGGACTCAGGCTTGAAAAAGAAGTAGAACTGAGCACTTATGGGTTTACTACCCTTGTACCATAATGTTGATCCGTCGTTTAAAACTAAACCTAAACCAGATTAGTTCTGAAATCAGTGTGAATAAGAAGACATGAATAATGCATATTTATAATACCTGATTGTTCTTATTTCGTCAGGCCCACGTTAGAAGAGCTGAAACTGTGGGGCGAGTCTTTTGAAAAACTGATGAAGTGTCCGGGTAAGTTTTTGAGCCAATTTCTATTGTAACACTTCGTGAGCACCTTTCCGTCCTTTCAGACGATAGAGTTATACTGTGTTATCAGCAGGCATGAGACTTACAGCCCATGGTTATGGCGAGTGTGACTAGCAAGACCCACCCTAGTTAGGAAACGTATTCCACAATTAGAACAGAGCAATTCAAGACTATTATTACCATTATGTGTTCTTAATGTGTTTCTTCTCAGATGCCCGGCTGTCATCCTTTCTGCAATCATTTCTTCCTTTATTCTCATTCTACGAAAATTAAAGAATAAGGTTACCATGATAGTGTTGAATGAAATAATCCTGAACATTAACCCCAGATATATTGCGAACCTTTAACACACCTAAACTATGAATAGGAGGATTGTCTATGGAAAGACGAGTTGTGTGATCATCAGAGGAAGATTTTATGGCAGTGACAAAACTCCACCTTCATGTTCACAACTGTTATATTTGTTCGTGATGTTTTTAAAATTCTTGTTTGTAAAGTGGAATACAATCTTTGTTAGAAACATTTCACTGTATTTACCAGTCTGTTGTTTTCCTTGGTTGAACTTCATTGTCAGTTTCCTTGTAAGGTTCTGTGCCATGTCCATTCAGCTTCTCGGTATTAGCTCTAGTGCATTTACTTTGGGGGGGGGGGGGGGGGGATTCAATTTACTATCGCCTCGATGTAGAGTCCAGTCCATTTTGTCATACTTGTAATTTGGAAACTTCCTATATATGCTCTGATCTCTATGTTATAAATCCAACCATTTTTAACAACTGACCGTGTCTATTGCATGTTGATTTACATGATCTCACACGAGATTCTACGGAAATTGTTATTCATGGACCCACGCAAAAATTGTTTTAAGGCATATCAAAGGCTACGAACACCACCTTGTAGGCAATCTAAGCACATAATTTTTTCAGATGTTTTTGCTAACCTGACGTTGTGTCATATACATCAGGGACGTTGAAAAAAACAAGATAGCCTTTATTGCTTAGTACCCACGCATATATATAATTGTGTTTTATTAATGTCACTATGCTAGTCCCCCGTGTGGGTTCCGGGGCCCCACTGTGGGGAAAAGAATAGACTCACTGCCTCACCAACAAGCATGTCATAAGAGTCGTGCAACTAGGGGCTACCTTTGAAGTCGGAGTGCATCTGCCTGAGAGGCAAGGAACCAACAATCTGCATACAAATACGTCAGATATGTAAAACAGAAGCACACGCAAAACTCAGGTCCGGGAACACAGCCAAAGTCCAATAATGGACGAACAACCAGGTCTTTCTACCGGAGTTTATAGCCGGTGAACGCAGACAACAACAACAACAACTATGCTATGAATGCCAAACATGGACATTGTCTTTAGAAGTAAAAAGGAAAATAGTCACCACAGAAATAAAATAACTTCGTACCATGTTAGGTGTAACGAAGAAAGATCAACTTAAGAGCGATTATATCGGGAGGAACGTCGGCACAGAACAAATCCTGAATTTTATACTTAAGACAACAAACCAAATGGTTTGGCCATGTAACAAGACTGGAAACAGATAGTGCACCCCAGAGAGCAATGTTATGCAGATGCAACAGTAACAAAACTAGAGGTCGACATCGCAGAATATGGATCTCAAGAATATTAGAGACACTGAAAAGTACTTTTTACGAAATCAACAGAAAGGCCCATTCTAGAGATCTCTTCCTGTCCTGACTCCAGGAGGCATTCCATGAGAAGAGAAAATAAGAAGATTGTGTAAGAAGACATTACATGCTCATTGTTCCAATGACAGTAGTATTCCAAGTGCCCGTGCAAATGTGTCTTCATCCGCCCTTTATCCACAGTGGAGTATAGGCTCTCAACCAAAAACCACCAAGTCGTCCTACCTTTTGCTATCGAGTATAGCTATTTTTTATCTCCTCCCTATATCCACCCCGTGCTCCCATTTTTCTCCCCAAGTCTGTGTGTGTTGTCAGCATTAACTCCTTAGATTTAGGGCTTCAGTATAAAGACTTTCTATGTTGTTATCATGTAATATTTCAGCATTTTCTTATGTATCTCCATTTGTTTTTAATATACACATTGAAAACAATGATATAATAGTAGTATTATTTAATAAAACATTTGATACATAAGATAGTATTATTTTCATGGTGTTGATAATCTTCTATCTTTCCCACATACATACAGGTGGTCGCAAACTGTTCCGAGAGTTCCTAAGATCTGAATACAGCGAAGAAAACATGTTGTTCTATCTAGCTTGTGAAGACCTCAAAAAGGAGGATAATCCAGAGCTCATAGAGGAAAAGGCACGACTAATTTATGAGGATTATATATCTATATTATCGCCTAAAGAGGTATGTTGCTGTGTTGTTGTGGTTTACTACATCTTCTTCTACTTATAGACTATGCGCCCTGTATATTCAAACATATCTGACAGAGATGTTCATCAGTTCCACTGTGCCAGACTACGCAGCACTTCCTCTGTTGCCTTCTCTATGCTTCTCTTCTCATTCTAATTTCCTATTGTCACTTTGTACTCTGATTTAATTTTTTTTTTTTTTTTTTTTTTTTTTTTTTTGCAATTTTTTTCTAATTAATTTTTTTAACCAAAGAATCTAAAAATTCTACATATTCTTCTTCTTATAGTTCATGCCATGTGTTGTTCGTTGGTAGTCATGTCTCTTTACAACCTTCTGTTTCGTGTGTTTTTAATCAATTCTGACACAGATGATCCTTCATGCAATGATATCAAACTGTCCAGCATCTTTTCTATTGGTCTCCATCTGCCTCTCCTCCCCTCCAACTTTCCTAATGTCACCATATACTCCAGTTTTCTCCTTCTCATCACATGACCCCCAAAAAATGTAGATTTGTGCTTTTTGATGTGATCATTCAGTTCTCTTTGTGAGTCAGTTTCTTTCAATTGTTGTCTGTACAACAATACTACATATTAACATATGGTAAAACAGTTATACAACAATTGTACATATTAACGAATGTGGGCAATCAATTCTCTTTGTGAGTCAGTTTCTTTCAATCGTTGTCTGTGTGTACAACTATACTGCATATTAACGAATGGTAAAAATGTTATTTATTCATCCTTCTAAACATCGCTGCAGACTGGTGGCACATATCTGCTGCGTCCCTGTGCTGTTGGAAATCAAACAAAATGTTATTCACATTTTGATTTTAAAAGTTTTAAAAAAAATTGTATCAGTCCCGGTACACATTGAAGCCTACACGCACAAAGTAAAAAAAAAAAATATAAGACAGCGATTACTTATGCCAACACCAATAGTCACACATCAGAATTTGCAGCTCACCGTTTGCGCAAATAGTCAGTCACGAAAGCTGGCTTGCACCGGCACAAGTGCAGGTTTTTCTGAATGTAAGCGACACTCGACATTTCGTTACAAACACCAACACGCTGCGGGCACAACATTTTTTTTAAAAATCATTCCGTGTGAAATCCAAAGCTCAGAGTGTCACAGTAAGCACTCATTTCAGTAGCTGGGCGACGGAATCTTGTCACTCAAGGTCGAGGAAACAAATAACTTTAAGAGCGTCAGAGGTCAGTCGGAAGTCTTTCATTTCTCTAATGGTAAACTACAGTGTGGACATTGCTAGATGCATTCTTGAAGAGTAACGCATCCTACCAACTGCCCATGGGTGTATGACTTGCTCCAGATACATAGAAAAGCCCTCTTCACACGACAGCATGACTATTAGGTTCCTACAGGAATATAACAATAACCCCAGCATATGTAACATCTTGACAACCACAATCTATCTGGTACAGGTTACATGTCCAATCGTAACCACTATCCCTGTCTAAGAAAGCCGTAATTCAATACAGAACATCAATTATGAACTTATAGTGCAATCAGTCTCTGTATTATGGACGAACACATTGCGACGACGATGAATTAGTAATCAACAACAAGGGGCCAGTCCACTACTTCCTGCTTGATACACTCACATCGGCAGTCTCCAGAACAGAACAGAAACACCCTGGCGAACTATGTACAGGTCGCTGCTTCAGGCGATTCAAACCCGATCACGCAGACACACAAACGTGATATACATTGACAGTCAACTGACGGCTCTCCCTCTAAGAGATCCCGCCACCTGGGGGCCCAAGGTCGATGCACCACTTGTTGAAAAGAATCCAGACCTCCAGTCTGCTATTCAGTCACTAGTTGACTGATCAACCTCCAGTTAACTGCGGTCATAGTATTTACTAAGGTACTCCACCCTCCGCCAACCAGAATTCCCGATACCTCCCCATCACACCTCCACGCTGGTCAACACACATAAAGTTACTACTACACTTTCTGTAGCACTTATAGACACCCCGTCAACTAGCGTACCACATAGCCGCAACTTTGCCAACTCCACACACATGCGCCGATACAACCAACGTCAATGCTAGAAAATCATCCTGACAGCATTTTAAAGTCTAACTTATGATCCACCACATTCAACTAGGCAGTTTACGAACTTCCACAGAATATAAAACATCTTGTTAAAACTGCCACATACCAATTCCATGAGTCCATGTTACTTTAACAATTCGCGCACTGTCAGTGGAGATATAAACAGAGTATGAATTTCGTTCTTGTTTCTCACTCTTCACTTTCCGCTGTTTGCATGTTTTATGTCCAAAGATTTGTCGCTTTATGTTTACGGCTTTGTCTATTTTAGCCGTGCTCCAAGTCTTAGAGGAGGGAAAAACACCATAATCTGCTTATATCGCCGTTTAAATACTTTGATCTTGATGTTACGAGACGGGGATTTTGATTTCAGCAAATGTTGAAGGGCATATTATTTTGCTAAAACAGTAAAGAAAAGGAAAATCACACGTTTCACATAACTGAAGTTACCATAGTATGATTTCCGTGGCTTGACCTTCCGGTCAAAATGGACGCTAGGCACGGCCACTGTTTTGATCCGTGGCACATATTTTGCCTTTGCCAGAACGTGGCTGTTGCATTCTTGCTCCATTTGTAGACTGAAAAGATGTAGTTTCGTTGCCCAGATTTTGAGTTGAGTGCATGGTGTGACACTGTGAGTTGCGGATTTCATTTGGAATGTTTTTCGACTTTGACCAAAGTGGTGGTGTGAATTGTAGATCCAGAAAATGGCGCGATGCCTGTTGTCGCAATATTGGTAGTGCCATTATGTGATTAAAAGTGATCGCGTGTTCAGCTGCTGATCTGTTGGTGACTTCTGCTATCATCCATGATGAATTGCATTTCGAATGTCAGACTGTTTGTGTTAGCACTTCGGATAGCTACCCTATGCTTTTAATGCGTGTGTATGCTAGCGCATATGCTGAGACAGCAGTCTGTCAATCTTCCACAAGGGACTGTAATAAACATTCTGTGTGTTTTTCGTTGGCACAGGAGCGAAGCAAGTATGGAGTGACCGGTTTGCTATGAAGCTGAAACTAAGATGACCAGATGACCAGATGTCCATGGTGGGTGGTGAGATGGACAGTGGTTGAGTCGCATTTTAGAAGAGACTGGGAGGTTGACCATATAATATCCCCGAACCACAGCACTGCACGCACATGTCACTGCAGCCAAACTCCCATTGTCGAGACGACACTTTAAAAATTTGTTAAAAAATGGGGCAAACGGAACAAGACACATTTCCCACACCTTCAGGTGTATCATTTGTGTCATTCCGGCTCATTGGCCCTTTGTATCATTCTGGCTCATAGGCACTTTGTATCATTACCGGCTCATTGGCACTTTGTATCATTCCGGCTCATTGGCACTTTGTATCATTCCGGCTCATTGGCACTTTGTATCATTCCGGCTCATTGGCACTTTGTATCATTCTGGCTCATTTTCACTTTGTATCATTCCGGCTCATTTACTTTCCATGACTTTTCCTAATACCCAATCAAGAATGGGTCTATATCTGGGAGCGAAGGTCATTTTCACAACAACAAAAATGTCAGGCTCCGTTTAGTTTCTAACTCACGACCTTTGTCTAGCCGCTACACCACGGCGACGCCCACACACTGATTAAGCATGTCCCAAAAACTACACTTTAGACCTTAAAATTACATACCGTTTTTTTTTAAAACAAAACAGCATTTGCTTAAAAAATCAGGCAACAAATTTCTAACATTAGAGTTAAAAAAAAAAATTTAATGAGAATGACGAACCTTGTTTGATTCTAGGATTTCCATCACCCACTTCATTTCGTTCACATCTCTCTCTTTCTCTCTCTCTCTCTCTCTCTCTCTCTCTCTCTCTCTCTCTCTCTTTCTTTCTCTCCTTCTCTCTCTCTTTGTCTCTCTCTTTGTCTCTCTCTTTGTCTCTCTCTTTCTCTCTCTCTTTCTCTCTCTCTCATTCACACTTTCTCTCTCTCTCTTTCACACTTTCTCTCTCTATCTCTCTCTCTTTCTCTCTCTCTCTCTTTCACACTTTCTCTCTCTCTCTATCTATCTCTCTCTCTCTCTCTATCTCTCTCTCTTCTCAACCCCCCCCCCCCTTTCCCCCGCCAGTGTACCCGAGGCTACAATAGCTTTCGTTGCCAACCAGTCATTCCAGTCCCCCAAGTGGGCGGTGTTGTCCACTTTGGGAAACTGATATAGACGTTTTGCTAAAAGCCCTGTTATTGTCTTGTCTTGTCTTGTCCACAATTGCCTCACAGCGTAGTGGGGAGTCGCAGTTTTCTATCCTGGGCCAGGTGTGTTGCATGTGTTGTTGTTAGTCCGTGTTGCCTCAGGATCTCTGATATATTGTCTATCCATCGTACTCTCGGTCTGCCTCTTGCTCTAGGGCAGTAGTGTTGTTCGTTGTATGCTCGTAGAGGCAATTGGTCGGTTTGCATTCGCATCAAGTGGCCAAACCACTCGATTTGTTGCTTCTTTATGTATTGCAGGCATGGTGTGGTTCCTACAATTGATCTAATGTTCTCGTTTCGAACTCTGTCTCTCCTTGTGACAGTGGCAGCCTTACGTAAGCATCTCATTTCGCACGTCGTGATCTTTTTCTCCTGTGCTCTTGTTAGGGACCATGTTTGGCATTGGTAGCAGAGGGTTGGTATAAATATGCAATTTATCAGTTGTCGTTTTAGTGCCATAGTGATGCTTGCGTGTTTTAGCAGTGGGGATAGTTGGTAAGTTACTGCGTTCGCCTTTTGACATCTTGCCTTAAGTTTCCTTTCAATTCTTCCATCATCTGTGAAGATGCTCCCCAAGTATTTAAATTGCTGCACTTGTTTGAGTTGTTCGTTGTTAACTTGAATAGTTAGTATATTAGGTGTTCTACTTATTTTCAGAATTTCTGTTTTGGTGATGCTGATCTTCATGTTATATTCGTTGCAGACTGTGTGT